TCACAAACCTCTACAATGGCTATTTAATGTTAAAGAACCAAGTTCTAAACTAGTCAGATGGCGACTAAAACTATCTGAATTTGATTATGAAATCAAATACAAAAAAGGAACATTAAACATGAATGCAGACGCACTATCAAGAATTCCTGCAATACAACTTCATGCCATTCAAAAATCAGATCCAGATGCCAGATTAACATCTTCAGATGAAGAATTTCATAAAAAATTAGGATTAATGCTGAAACATACACCATTATGTAATGATGAAATCATAGCAAAATACTTTACAGATTCTAGAGTATATCTTCGTAAACAAAGCGAGATAGCTAAAGAAAAAGAGATAACAATGTCTGAATCATCTCAATCAACAAAAACAGCATCAGAAAAGGAACCTGAAGAGGAACCTAAAAAAGTAAAACCTAAAATAAAGATATTATCACAAATAATAATACCTCCAAGAAAAGAGAAAAAAGAAATTCCCATAGAAATAGGAGAATCTTCTAAAACTCAAAAAAGTAACAGACAAATAACACCAACTAATCGTTCTTCAACAATTTCAGCCTTGTCTGAAAATGACCAAACAATACATACGTCTATGGAAAATCCAATACTAGGAGCTCCATATAGGTACTAAGAAACATGTAAATGTATTTGGAAATCAAATTGTATTTCGATATTCCAATAATAACACAATTAGAAAACAGATAATCAAACTATTTGGTAATAAAAAGAGAATAATATTCTTCCTACCAAATAATCTAACAACATCACAAATTACTAATTTAGTAAAGGAATACATGCCACCTGGTATTTATTGCCTTCATTTCCTAAATAAATCTTTAGAACCTATTGTGATACGAGCATTACAAGAATCGTTTAATTCGAATTCATTTACTTTGTACATCTCGAACTCTTTATTAGAAGACATCACAGAAGTTGATCTTCAACAAGAGAAAATTCAGCAATATCATGAGACTAAAACCTCTCATAGAAGAATCACTGAAAATATTGCAGCCTTAAAGAAAAGATTCTATTGGCCCAATATCGAGAAAGACGTACAGAATTATGTCAAAGTATGCGAGATATGCAATAAAACCAAGTATGAACGTCAACCATACGAAACCATATTCAAACCAACACCCATTGGTATGAAACCTTTTGAACATATTTATATTGACACGTATATAATCAATAACCAGAAATTTCTGACCATTATTGATAGCTTTTCAAAATTTGGTCAAGCCTCTCCTGTAAATACGAAAATAGCTGTTGAGATATCATCACAGTTATTGAAATATTTAAGTGATCATGGAATACCTCAAAAAATCACATCAGATAATGGAGCAGAGCTCAAAAATGCTATAATGACAGATCTTTGTACATTATACAAAATTGAGTTTCATTACACAACTCCAAGAAACCCGAACTCGAATAGTCCAATCGAACGTTTCCATTCGACACTACGTGAAAGTATAACGAGTTTAAAACTCCAAAACCCGAATAAGAGTATTATCGATCTAATCACAATCGCTATATTGAATTATAACAACAGTACTCATAGTACAATGAATCACACCTCTTTTCAAGTGATTAAAGGAGATTTGAATTATGCCATACCGATTGAACAAACGGAAAACAAACTAACAACTGACTATATAACAAGTTTGGCAGAATAAAGTTTTGAATACCTATGTATGGCTGTATCTGCGATAATCCTTTTTCTCATGAGACTATTATAATAATAATTATAATAAATTGGCAAAATTTGGTCCACCATGCACAAATGGTACTGGAAAAGTACCTAAAAAGACTTTGAGGGTGGTTATAGGGGGTAAAATTGATAACTGTGATTCATCAAAAGGGGTTTTGTGAAAATAGTGTCGGGTCCAAATGATACTGGAAGTTATAAGCAGTACCAATATACACCATCTAGGGAACCTCACTCGACTTGCAAATTAGTTTGGGGGAGGTTTGAGGGGGTAATGAAAATATGGACATTTCCACCCTAGTCTCGGGTACAAATGGTACTGGAAGTTATAGACAGGACCAAGTTTGTTTAGTGTTTGTTTGTTTACAATTTACATAGTCTATCTTATATTTTACCCACTGATGTAATGTTTTGTTTCAAGTTTTGTTAGATTTTAAGTATGAAGCCTTTTACAAAGTGTTTTTTATTTCTATTTTTTTTTTTTGATTTTTTTAATTTTATTTTATCTAAGAGTAATTTTGCTGCACACTGCGGATCTTTTCTTTTTTTATTTAACTTTTACATTAAGTTCGTGTAATTACTAATCCTATTTTTAAGTTTGCTTTGATAATGAGATATAATAATTGTTCTTATATCAATAAAGCTATTTTTGACTTTGACTTTGGGATACACCGTTCAGGGAACCTCACTTGACTTGCAAATTTCTTTGAGGGTGGTTTAAGGGGGTAAAACTAATAATTGTGGGTTTTGTGAAAATATGGACATTTCCACCCTAGTCACGGGCAAAATTGGTGCTGGAAGTTATAGGCAATACCAAGATACACCATCTAGGGTACCTAAAAAAACTTACAAATAATTTTGAGGGTGGTTTAAACGGGTAAAACTAATAATTGCGATTCATCGAAAAAGGGTTTTAGTGAAAATATGGACATTTCTACCTTATTTTCGGGTACAAATGGCATTGTAAGTTATAGAAAATCAGAATATTTCTGCATTTTTACTTGTTAAGGTCTGGGCACACATGACCGCACCGAGTCCGCACCGAGCCCGCACCGAGTCCGTGCAGTAACACGGCAGTGTGTCGCTCAATAAGGTAAAAGCCACACATTTCCAACACACGGCCGCATGACGGTCGTACTACGAGTGCGGTCGGTAGGTTAGTATTACATAATATTTATCAGATAAAATACGATAAAAATTGTACCCGGTTTTTATTTGTGAGGAAATGTAAACAAAATATTTTATATGGAGTCTTATTTTGGTGGAGATATATATCCTTTTGAAAATAAAACCTCACTTTCAGATTCACCCTGTATAGTAGGTATAATCAATTTCAACCTATTTTAACAGGATTCTTAATTGAAAATAAAACATATGTATTTTGACTTACCCTTTATTTCTAAATGCGTAGCAATTAAAGTCCATACCCTTTCCTTATATTCAGCATTCCTATATTTTTCATTTCTTTGGTCGTACAATACAGGATACTTTTTGACTTCTTCTATCAGTTTCTCCATTTCTGCAACGCACCGTGCCCGTCAAAAATTAAACAAAACTAATCTCGCACGGTACGGACGCGGTGCGGTGGTGTCACTCGGGCTCGGCGCGGGCACGGTGCGTAGATGTGAAGACTACGACATAAGAAAACACGGTACAACTATTCACCGAGACACGGCCGTGTCTCGGTGCGGGCTCGGTGCGGACTCGGTGCGGTCATGTGTGCCCAGACCTTTAAGGGTAGTTTTTTGTACTTCGACAGGTTTCCAGTCAATGGGATTTTGCATGGAGGTTGGAAATGTTGTTAGAATAGTACCCTATCAATTTTATAGCAAGACTCGAAGTCCGAGTTTGAAAAAACATCAAAAATTTCGATATTTAGACATTTTCATTTGTTAAGGGTAGTTTTTCGTACTTTGATGGGGTTTGGGTCAATGGAATTTTGCATGGGTGTTGAAAATGCTGTTAGAATAGTACCCTAACAATTTCATGGCAAAACTCAAAGTCTGAGTTGGGTAAAAATACGAAAATCTTAATATTTCTGCATTTTTACTTGTAAAGGGTGGTTTTTTGTACTTTGACAGAGTTTGAGTCAATGGGATTTTGCATGGAGGTTGGAAATAGTATTAGAATAGCACCAATAATTTCATGGGCATAGGGGTTGAAATAGTGCTCTATCAATTTCATGGCTAGAAGATCCAATAATAGGAAAAATTTGAATCTTCCCAAGTTTATAGAAGAAGGTTAGGCAAGAGGTTGGGAGTATCTTATACCAAAATCTCAAACCGATTCCTTCAAGATTAGAGAATGAACTGAAAATCGACTTTGGTAAACATTTAAAAAGAATTATTTAAATGCACCCAAAGCTAGCCAATGCAAGTTCTATAGTCGACTTGATTGGTCATAAATGGTGCTTCAAGTGTTCCAAATTTCACTTTTGATCCAAATTCAACTCTTGTTGCATTGGAAACTTCATCTAGAGGCCCTCAAGAGTCGGTACCTAATAATTCAAAATAATCACCTAGTTTTCAGTTAAGACTTAAACCTTCCCAGCTTGTAAATTGATTATTTTAAAACTTTTAAACTGAATATCTATTGGTTATTAAGGCAATAATTATTATTAATTCACAATCCTGGGAATTTCTTGGATGGGTCACTCTAATAGATATTTACACAGCTTATGTAAGGTAATTTCTGCTATACTGCCTTGTAATTGGGTTTTACCTGTAGGGCAGTTTTTTTTTTGTAAATAAATAAATAAATATTAAATACTTATATATTTATGTAAAATATTATATCATTAACTATCCATAGACCACCTATATAATCTATGATATCTGGTATTTGTTTTTTGACCTTATGTATTTTGCTTTGTACCTATTTGATTATCTGTTATTTGTTAATAGGTTTGTTCTCACCAAAGAACGTTTTTGATTAGTTCAAATTGTCAACAAACAGCTTCCTGACTATTTTAACCAATGAAATTCGCTATGATTGGTTTGTAATTTCTTTAAGAACAGACCTAGGTATAGTCTAATATAAAAATGCTACAATATTTGTTCAAAATGTAACAAACCTATTTATTCTCAATGATGAAAACCTCAAAAAAATAGGCTCATAAGACAAGGTTTGAGCTGAGAAATGCTGAAATTTCTCAAGGACCAGCTCAAAGACAGAGTCCTAAAAAACTAGGTTATAAATCACACAATACATAAACATTTCTACCAGCAAACTGAGGAGGATTTTGAAAAGATACAAACCTGTAATTTCAAGACAAAAGGCTACATTTACTTACCTTAAAAACAGGTACGTCAACCACTAAAACCTTGCCTCCTAGACCTTCCACTATAGACCCCTCAGACCCACTTTTCTTCCTCTTCCTAGTTTTATGAATGTCTTCTTCGCTAGCATCCATATCCCCTACGATATGCTTAAGATTTTTGTTAGCCCACTTTGGACTGGAAGTTTTCCTTTTGCGAGACAAGTTGGTATCAAGGTTAGCCTCCTTAGACAGGGCCAGCAATTGAGCCAGTTCTCGAGGCAGGGGCTTTTCAGGTTCATCTTGGGATTTAGGTTCTTCTTCTGCAGTCGAGGTCGAAGGTAGTACAATGACTTCGATTGAATTTTGGATCGCAGTTGATGTTTCGATTACGTTGAGGATTGAATCGGTGTTTAGTTCATTGGAGTCGGCTTGCATGGGTAACAGTGGGGCCTCGTCGCTGTCTATTTCGTTATCAGACATGGCTATGGATGGGTTATCTTAATAGTAACCTAAAGGTGGATTTACAATAATTATGTATTGAATAATAGTATAAAAATGACTTACCGATAGGTTTATTATTTCAATAAGATTCAGTGCGAAAAATTACATCGTATCATCACATCACTATGAAAAGAAAATTCAGGTGAGGAGGGTGAGATGTACTCTAGCGCCTCTAGCGGCAACGCGGCAACAGAAAAAACGAATAAAGGTCTGTTTGCACGACGCACAGAAATCGTGAACCAATTGGAGCGTATTTCATTGGTTGAAAACTAGAGTATCCACTCTGCATGGTTTGTGATCTCTGTGTGAAGAGATCTTATGACAAAATAATTTAAGTAAAAATTACAGTTTCCTTCTTTATCGCTAACCGCACTTGATTTGCAACGAGTATGAGAAGGGCAAATATATGTAGCTTGGTTTGTTGCACTTACTCGTGTTTATGAATGAAAAGTGAAAAGTAAGCAGAAGGGAACGGTGTTGCCAAGTTAGGTTAGGAAATTATTATTGGTAAGTAATTTTTAGTTAATAATTAATAATTATAATACTGAAATATAATAAATAATTTCTAGAAAATGGTTTTTCAAATCAAATAACTAATTAAAACAGTGTAAACAACAAGTGGTAGAAATTAGCCAATATAATGATTTGGCAACGCAGCAAAGTGGTAAGTCATGTTTTTTTTTTTATAAGGGCAAGTATTATAAAACTGCTTTGACAGTTAACTTAACTAATTTAGGCCCGGTTTATTCATTTTCAGATAAACGTACTGGTAACTAGGTATCTGCAAAATAAATTTACCATTCCATAATCCTATTGTTCATGTCAGATTGGATTATCTGACGGTTTATCAGAAGCTGAATAAACTGGCTCTTATTAATGAGTACATTCACCATTCAGGGCGGTGCTAGCGGCTAAGGGCGGGTATTATAAAACTACTTTGACAGTTGACTTGTTAACTGTCAAAGTAGTTTTATCCGCCATAAGTTCAGCCACTAAGCAGGAACTCTATTCTCGAAACAGGAGAACGAAAGTCCTGTCTTCGTCGTTCGTATTCATTTTTCCATAACACTGACTTAGGGCGGGTTACATAAAAAAACTGCTTTGACAGTTAACTTGAAGTTAACTTTTTGAATTACATGTAATTCCAGAAGTTAACTTTAAGTTAACTCTCAAAGTAGTTTTATTATACCCGCCCTTAATTGTACCCACTGTAATTAGTATTATTGATCCTGACATTAGAGCAGGTAAAGGTAAAGAAGAAGTAACATGGAGTTGGTAAATGAAAATGAAGCCGTTTTTTTCCAGGTATTTTGGCACCAAAAAATGGTGGTATAGGCAATTCAATGCTGCCAAAAACTTGACTTCACTTTAGTTTCATAGCAGAATGGCACGTTCCTTTTCCTATGTCCGTAGCTCCCTAGGACAATGTTTTACCTAAGTTACTGACACATTGGCGAATGTCCGGGCAAAATATTTTTGAATTTTCTTTTTCTGTACAACATAAAATCTGTTTTTATGATTATGTTGGCAACACAAGGCTTTTCCATTGTAAAAAATCCACCACATTGACAGTTTCACATTGTACCGCCAACGTAAATTATTTAAAAAAAAAAACCGACTCTTATTCTATAACCGTGCAGTAACCTTGAGGCAGTAACAAACGATTTATTATTATTTATTATTATTAATTATTTTAACTTAATTTGGATGTTTTGAGTAACTTGGGGTGAATTTATCAATAAATCAATTTTTCTGAGTGCCTTTTTTCATACAATCCAGCTCCAACTCTCAGAATAATTTGGTGTATGAAGTTTCTGTTTCAGTCGCCCATATTTATATTTCCATAGTACTGACAAAGACAAAGCAATCGTTCTCTTAAGAACACTGTTCCCTGCTAGTTTCGAAATAAGACACCCTAGAAAGATAAAGAAACAAATAATGCGGAAAAGTTAGTGTATTTCCATCTCTTTCTCCGAGCCTGCTATAGAAAAAGATAGTGAAACATAATTTTTGACAACCGAATAAGCCTTATTAAAAAAAGTTGCCTGCTTGATTAAAAAAAAAAGTCTTCTGTTTTGTAATAATTGATTTTCCTTGTACTGCACTCTTTAAACTGTCAAAATGTATGCATTTTACTTAGAAAATGGCCGCCTAACGAGTGTCAAAAATGTCTTATAAATGACATTCTAAAGCCTACTTTGATAAATACCAATGGCTAAATAAACGTTTACATACAGTGGCGACAATAGAGGTCCCGCCGCCATTTTGTGCCCAACCTCTCGCTACTTTTAAATATGAATATAAACAAAATGGCGGCGTTTTCCATATGAATATATGAGATTTTAAAGAACCAATCAAAAAGAAGACGCCAAAGATGAAGCTCAACAATGTTCTTTTATAGATTTTTGATAAAGTAGACATAATTTTAAGTTTATAAAAAATAAATATTTCATCTTGTATCCATGTATTTTCCGTTTTTTAGCAGGTATTTCTGGAAGCTGTGCCTCGTTTTCGTTGTCACGAATGTCACGTTCACTATTCGCAGGATTACTCATAAGGCGTACGTTCGCTAATTCTCGAGTCGGCAGCAGGTCTGCCAGTGACGTCACCAATATCAGCAGCTGATTGTAATGACGTCACTTGCAGCTTGGGTTTTAAACTGTGCTTGTGCTTGAATTTTTCTTGGATTTTAAATTGAAAAAAGATGATTTTAACGTTTAGGAATTCGCTCATTCGTGAGATCTGACAACACTGAATCTTACTCGAAGCTGTTCTAGAGTAGGTTTGTAGAAGTGAAAGTTCAATTTTCAAATATTCTCGGCTCTTGATTGGCTCAATTTGACGTTTTAAAATTCAATGTTTGAATACTTCGATTATTGATTGGTTTTAAAATTCAATTTTTGTAATTTTCTCGGTTTTTGATTGGCTTAAAAATTCAACATTTGTAAATTCCCGGCATTCGATTAGCTGTAAATTTCAATTTTCAAATATTCCCGGCTCTTGATTGGCCTAACTTGACGTTGCAAAATTCAATGGTTGAATATTCCTAGTTTTTGATTGGCTTCAAAATTAATTTTTAAACCCAATCAAGAGCCGGGAAAATTCATAATTTGAAGCCAATCAAGAGCCGGGAATAATCAAAAACTCAATTTCTAAACCAATCACGAGCTGGGAATGATCAAAAATTCAATTTAAAACCCAATTAAGAGCCGGGAAAGTTCAAAATTTGAAGCCAATCAAGAACCGGAAATAATCAAAATTTAAATTTCTAAACCAATCAGGAGCCGGGAAAATTAAAAAATTCAATTTTCAAACCAATCAAGAGTCGGGATGATCAAAAATTCTATTTTAAATTCAATCAAGAGCCGGGAAAATTCATAATTTGAAGCCAATCAAGAGCCGAGAATAATCAAAAATTGAATTTCTTAGCCAATTAAGAAAGAAGAAGAAATATTTCACATCAGAGAATCCGGCTCCAAATCTCAAAATGTATGCATTTTACTTAGAAAATGGCCGCCTAACGAGTGTCAAAAATGTCTTATAAATGACATTCTAAAGCCTACTTTGATTAATAACAGTGGCCAAATAAACCTTTACATACAGTGACAACATGGTGACAACGTATTTGATGTGTTTAATTATTATATAGTCATGGGATACATTGTTTTAAATTTTTTGATGGATGTTCATATGTCCATTTAAATCCTATATTTTCATATTTAAAAGTAGCAAGACAAGAGGTTGGGCACAAAATGGCGGCGTTTTCCATATGAATATATGGGATTTTAAAGAACCAATCAAAAAGAAAACGCCAATTTTCGGTACTGTGCGTGGTATAGTCCGACAAATACCATTTTAAAGTCACGTGATATTGGTGGCAAAAAACGTATGTCCATTGATTATGTCGTTGATATCACCTACAAAAAGCTACTGGTGGTTAATTACTATTGAATTTTAAGATATGTTCCCACTAGCATTTTACAAACGCGTTTCTGAAGTAGTATTGACCAATCAGATGGGGATTAATAGAGTCACTATATTGATTAAAACTTCGCAACGCCATCTCGTGACAGTTGAGTTTATTATGGTCAAATTATGTCAATTTTGATGCCAATTAGAGCTGCTTTCTTTTCAGGGGCTTAGGCGCCCTGGATCACGATTTTGAAATGTGTCAACCGATCTTTTTAATTGGGACGTCAAGCCCTGGGGTCGTCTACCACCGCTAGCGTCGAAGCTCCACGACTCCACAGCTCCAGTGTCCAAACTGTCACTAGTGTCAGATAATTACATGTCCTTCAATTACCGTTCTTTTCAGAGCATGCGCTCCCCCCCCCCCTAGGGAATCGAAACCCGGGGTTTCAAAGCTCTAAAAGAAAGCACCTCAGAGCTGTTTTAAGCCTAAGGTGCTTTTCATTCAGTGACCCATTTGAGTTACTCCTGAGCAGCTCAAAAGTGCTCCACAATTACTTTGCGCGTTCCAGTGCTTAGAATGTCGTATACTTGAACTACTCATTTCTGTAATTCCCTGCTCCCTCCTGCACCAACCTTTATTTCGGTCTCAATGATTTCGGTGTTTCATGCTTTTGAAGTCCGAAATAGTGGGAGCGTTCCAGTGCTGCTTAAGTCGAACAGTTGCAAGAGTGTCACACTCGGAGTATGATACTCTAATAGCGATTTTCTTTTGTAGAATTGGTGCAAAAAAAATGTATCCTCATTCTTATATTTTACATGCTTTTAGAAAAAGATGCGATGCGGATACACTCAGTGCGCACTGATTGACAAATGGAAATCGCCATAACAATTTAGGCACTGGAAAGCAGCTCAGTATGTACATTGGCGTGCTCTAGAGCACCCCAGAAGCACCACGCACTAGATTTGTACCCTTGCAGTATCATGACGTGTGACGTTTGTCCGTACGTATAGCTTGGGAGCTCAACGCTCCGAGCGTCACACTCCTATATTGGAAACCGGCTCACGACCTAATTAGAACTAAGAATCGATTTTGGGACTCGGACCAGCAAAAAATACTGTTCTAGAGTAATATTTAAATGATTATTCCACTCATGTGTTAGAAATCCCATAAGACAAGTGACAATTTTCAGAATAACAGCGAAAATTCTCTTTTCCATTTGTTTAACTAGAGAGAATTACAGCGATAATTCTCCCATGTTATTGTATACATGGTTGTCATGCTAATTTTTGATACAAACAAACGGTTCCTGATAGCAACCATTTATTTGTATTGATTGTTAAGATGTTCAAATCGTTTAATACATATTTATTTCCATATTTTTTGCATTCTCATACGTGAAATAATCCTCTAAATACCACGTGAGCTTTAAAATGAACCAAATAATTTTTCACTCATGCGTGTTTTCTCTGCAAATTTCACTCGTCCTACGGACTCGTGAAAAACACGCAATCGTGAAAAATTATCGGTAATTTTGAAGCTCTCGTGGTATTATCGAATGTAATACCACAAGAGGTTTCAGGATTACCGGATAATACTCAACGCGTTACTAGCAACACCACTCCTCCTTCGGAGTCGCGTTTCGTGACAGGTAAAAGTATTAGGTACTCCTGAAACATCGAGTGGTATTCAGAAGGTTATACAACGAACTAAACTTCAATACTTTATTAATTTTTATTATTAATACCAAATGAACAATATTGCCACCAAGCGCGATAATTCCAAAAGGCTTATCACTTTTTAAGCCTCTCGTGTCATATGGGAAATAATGTACAGTGAGTTGTATAATCCCCGAAAATCTTGCTTGCTCGAAGCTGTTCTAGATAGAGTATTATTAATTGGTTTTAAAATTCTAATTTTCTCGGTTTTTGATTGGCTTAAAAATTCAATATTTGTAAATTCCCGGCTCTCGATTGGCTGTACATTTCAATTTGCAAATATTCCCGACTCTTGATTGGCTTAATTTCACGTTTCAAAATTCAATATTTGAATATTCCCAACTCTTGATTGGCTTCAAAATTAATTTTTAAACCCAATCACAATCAATTGAGAGCCGATAAAATTCAAAAATTGAATTTTTAAACTATCAAGAGCCGGGAAAATTTGAAATTTGAAGCCAATCAAGAGCCACGAATATTCAAAAATTCAATTTTTAAACCAATCAAGATCTGGAAATGATAAAAAATTCAATTTAAAACCCAAGTAACTATGGCAGATTTTAATGAACAAAAAATCTATTCTTACTAAGTCGAAAAATGTCAACCATTTTGACACCTGTCAAAACCCTGCCAAACGGCAGCACTCATCTTTTTCTGTTTTCAATATTTTATGTCATTTGACATTTTTATCTTGTATGTAAATTCTGAATTCAAAATTTGAAAAAAATAACATCATTGCGGATTGCATTTATGTGTCAAAATGTTTGAGTACTTTAATAATTTCATTATAGTACTGAGTACTATAATGACTTTAATCAAATAAAATCCCTTATACTAAAACTACATACTTTAAAATGAAAATTGACATTTCTGTCAAAATCTGAAACCTGCGTATAATGTTTTTTCATGCGTTATCATAAATAAGTCTAACTTAAATTGGAAAAGAACTAGATTTGATTCTTTTTTGAATTAAAGCTATTGCCAGATTCTGACAGCTGTCAAAATGTGACGTGCATGAACTTTGTTCAATGTTTTATCACCAATAAACTACCTTAAAACGAGAAAGAACCAAATGATAGGTTTTGACAGTTCTGTCATTTTTTTTAAAATTTTTGAATTCAGAACTTACATACAAGTTAAAAATGTCAAATGACATCATAAAATATTGAAAACTGGAAAAAATGCTGCCGTTTGGCAGGGTTTTGACAGGTGTCAAAATGATTGACATTTTTCGACTTAACTTGGTCGACTTAGTAGAAATAAATGTTTTGTTCATCAAAATCTGTTATTGTAACTCTGCTTTTGGATATAATATTCCAATATTTGACAGCTAACCACGCCTCACCTGTCATATATACAGGATTGTGCCCATGGTAAAAAATGTTGCTTACGGCATCCCCAATAACATATTTAAATTTCATCCAAATATCACGGGTAACCAATTTCCATTTAAATATTGCGGGGTCCTTTAGAAACAATAAAGAGCCGAGAATAAGTAAAATTTGAATTTCTAAATTATGCAAAAGCCGGGAAAATTGAAAAATTCAATTTTCAAGCCAATCAGGAGCCTGGAATGATTGAAAATTCAATTTTAAATTCAATCGAGAGCCGAGAAGATTAAAAATTTGATTTTCTAAACCAAAATTCAAAAATTAAATTTTCAAACCAATCAAGAGTCGGGATGATCAAAAATTCTATTTTAAATCCAATCAAAAGCCGGGATAATTCAAAACTTGAAGCCAATCAAAAGCCGGGAATAATCAAAAATTAAATTTCTAAACCAATAAAGAACCAAAAAATTTAATAAATTAAAAATTCAATTTTGAACCCAATCAAGTGCCGGGATAATTCAAAATTTGACTTTGGAAGTCAATCAAGAGCCGAGAATAATCAAAAACTCAATTTCTAAGCCAATCAAGAGCCGGGAATGATCAAAATTGAAGCCAATCAAGAGCCAGGAATAATCAAAACTTCAATTTTCAAACTCAATCAAAAGCTGCTGGAATTCAAAAATTGACTTTGGAACTTGGAAGCCAATCAAAAGTCGAGAATATTCAAAATTTGAATTTCTAAACCAATCAAAAGCTGGGAAAATTAGAAAATCAATTTATGAGCCAATCAAGAGTCGGAAGTGATCACCCAATTGGAACAGACCAAAGCTGTTTTCTCGCGTTCACTTTTTTCACCTCAAAAGTTCATCAAGTTCAAGATATTTGGGCTGGGACTCTGTAACAGATAGAGTAGATCTTTATTCGCATCGTTCCCTTGCTATCTTCTTCTCTCTTTTAGAAATAAATAGAGAGGGGACTCTAATAGAGATAGTTTCATTCGTTACAGAGTCCCAGCCCTGCTATAAGAATATTGTTAAGCTTGGTTGACAAGGTCCGAATGCACTAATAGAATAATAGATTTCGATTTTTGACATAGTTTTTACATTGAAATTGGTTGACAACTGACAGAGTTAGGAGCCAAAATATGAAGCAATGTCAAAAACCAAGTAGGCCTTGTAATAGCTACCTTATGATTTGGATTTGTAGAAACTTTGAAGACCCATAACTTTTTGAAATACAGTGTGTAACAAATTCACATACACAGTTTCTCATAGTATATATTTAGATTGATGGGATACCCTCTGTATTTATGAGAACTTTATTCTACCATATTCAAGATAATTGAATCAGAATGACCAAAAATAAAACAACAAACAACCAATTGTTAAAACTAACAATAAATTTATTTAAAAAATCCAAATAAAACTCTAAAAAAAAATAAACACAATATAGAATATTATGTACTACGTTTGTTACTTATTAGTGACACACTACTAAATAATGAAAATTTATAAATAAATAAAACACATCATGGCTAATGGGCGTAAATTGTACTTTACAGCGACGTAACATATCTTTTCAGTTCTTCTTGGGTGTCGAAAATCATGACGTGGAACGGCGACCCGGGCACCAATTCCCCGGCCCATTTGACTTCCACACGATAATCTCCAGGCTCGGTCGGATCGTACTGGAAAAAAATGTATATTAAAATTAATAGAAAACTCAATTAATTTTCTTACTTTGCATAAAATGGTCCGATCTTTTTGGCTTTCACGTTGCATTTCCACTCGGAAGGCTCCTTTGGGGCCTCGGACTCTTACAGTGAGCTGACCCGCGCCTGCGCCTCGGGTGTCGCAAATGAATCTGGATTGGAATGTGGCTAGGACTCCGTGTTCTATACCTGGACCATACACTCTGACCTGGAAACAGGAATTTTTGTCTTACAATATAGTAACGCCTAATCAATCATTCATTTAAAATCAATTTAATTAAAATATCTCTAGATTTAAGGCCTTTGTTAAATCTCCTCTCCAGGGGACTTATTCTGTAAGAAACGAACCGTTCGATTCGGTAGAATTTCTTCGATTGTGACGTCATTTTCGGTTTGGTAGCGCGAAAACCTTGGTGGACTATTAACAAACGTCCATTTTTAACTTCAAAATTGCTTGCAGGTTCGATTGTGGATTCGAACGAGATCGATAACAATTAGGTAAATACGAAATTTATTGTGTTGAAAAGAAACAGATATAATCTGAGAGTAATTGTAAATACGTCACACAATTCAGTTGCACTGTCATATTGAGCAATAAATAATCCCTCAAAATAATCACAATCTTTGACATCTTAAGTCAAATTCCAATAAAAAAAAAATATTCGAGATCGCGCGCTCATGCTCATGTAGACTGAGCTTAACACAATAAATGACATCTGATTTTGTTGACATATTTCGAACAGGCATTAGCGGCCTTTGCCGCCAAGGTTATAATGCCAATGCGGGCTCTGACGTTATATGACGCACTTCCTTTTTTTATTCCTGACCGAGCTAGCGTTGTATGCCGTCTATTTAGCGTATAGGTATTTAGTGTTAGGGTGCCGTCTTGGAAACCCAAAAATATATATTTAGAATGGATAGTATAATTAACGTCCCCGGAACCACCTGAGACACAGGTTAACACATGCGGCATATCAAGGTGTCTTTCTAGGCGCACATCCATATTTTTGGTGCCGTTTCTGACATAGTGGCTATGACGACAAATGCCGCAGGTGTCATTGAATGTGTTAATTATTGGCTGTGTCGCAAACTTTTGTCTAGTTGGCCTTGCTTTCACACCAGGCATCTGTCTAATCGTTTTTGTATGAAATGTAATTTTTTTACATATCTTCGGCGGCCCTTCATCATCATTGATCTATTTTCAAATTTGTCAGAAATGACTGTCAAATTCAAGAGCCGGGAATAGATTTACAATGACGTCATGAAGTGTTACTTTTCACAATCGTTCCAAAATTGCCAAAAATAACTCAAATTGAAAGTTAATTTTTTTTTTCTGGTGGACTATTAACAAACGTCCATTTCTAACCTGCAGGTTCTTCGCCAGATCATGTGCGCGCCGATTTACTTAGCGTTCTGCGCAGCGACGTGACCGAAATGAATTCCAACGAAATCGGCAATAACAATTAGATAAATACCAAAATTATTGTGTCAGAAGGAGACAGATATAATCCGGGAATAATTGAAATACGTCACCGAAGTCATTTGCGGTGCCATCTTGAGCAACAAATAATCACAATCTTTGACATTTAATGTCAAATTCCGATCCAAAAAAAAAAATATTTCAAATTCGCGCTTATCTGGACTGAGCTTAATAATTAGTTGTGTCACAAACTTTTTTTCTAGTTAGCCTTGCTTTTACACAGGTATCTGTCAAATTGTTATCGCGTTAAATGTCATCTTCGCTTTAGCGGTCTTTTTTCAATCGATAATAATAGAAAGAGGTAGTGAGTAACTTCTTGAAAAAAAAAATTATAAAGTAGGTCTTGCATTTCTGTCAGATAACTGTCAAAAAGTGAAGCATTTCCTAGAATCAACCAAATCATATCAATTTAATTTGGCCATCCTTGTTTAATCAATGACATAAAAAAAAAAACAAAATGACTCTTTGGCAGAAGCTCTTTTTCAAGTAGGCCTTGCATTTTCATTGGCAATGGTTGAAAAATAAACCAAAAACAAGCAAATTGTGCCATTTAATTATTCATCGTCATTGGTCTATTTCCCAATTTGACAGAAATGACAGTCAAATTCAAGAGCCGGGAATAGATTTACGCATTGGTACGACAATGACGTCACAAAGTGTCACTTTTCACAATCATTCCAAAATTGCCTCAAATAACTCAAATTGTAAGATTCTTTTTTCTGGTGGACTATTAACAAACGTCCATTTCTAACCTCAAAATTATTTGCAGGTTCTTCGCCAATCATGCGCGCATCGATTTACTTAGCGTTCTGCGTGGTGGCATAACCGAAATTAATTCAAACGAGATCGGTGATAAAAATTAGGTGAATACGAAATTTATTGTGTTAGAAAGAGGCAGATATAATCTGGAAGTAATTAAAATACGTCACAAAATTCATTTGCGCTGTCATCTTGAGCAATAATAAGGCGCTTTCTTTTATTCAGCGGTGGATCCATCAGTAATCAGCCTTTCTTTGTCTAGCTCATAGAAAATAGGAATGTCTGTCTTATAATGCTGGCAGCAGATGGATCCATTGCTGAATAAAAGAACGCGCCCATAATTACAATCTTTGACATCTAAAGTCAAATTCCGACCAAAAAAAAATTATTTGAAATTGCGTGCTCATGTGAACTGAGCTTTATTATTGGTTGCGTCGCAAACTTTTTTTTCTAGCTAGCCTTCTTTTTACACCGGTATCTGTCAAATTGTTGTTATATGAAATGTCATTTTTTTATCTATCTTCGGCGGTTCTTTTTCAATAGATGATGATAGAAAGAGGTAGCGAGACTAATTGAGAAAAAAAAAATGATCAAGTAGGCCTTGCATTCCTTTTAGGTCATAAAGTGAGGCGTTTCTTAGAATCATCCAAATGATACCAGTTTTTATTTGGCCATCCTTGTTCAATTAATAACATTAAAAAGAGAAAAACTGGCAGATATTATTTTTCAAGTAGGCCATGCATTTTCATAAGGCGCTTCCTAAAATCAGCCAATTTACCTAGAAAAAAAAAACAAATTGAGCCAATTTTGTTGTTCATCGTCATCGATGTATTTTCCAATTTGACAGAAATAACAGTCGAATTCAACAGCTGCAAATGGATAAAAAAATTATTCTTCAAGTAGGCCATGCCAGTTTATCAAAACTAAAGGTTGTTTGAGAAAGGTAGGTTGCCTGCAAGGACTACTAGTACAAAATAGCCTATCCTCATAAGGCCTGTGTGGAACAAATCTGCCTTTCTCCCCCCACGCCAAATCACCAGTTATGACGTAGCAGCATTTTATTTTTCGCCTTGACGTAGGCTGTTTAAACAGCTGACGACTTAGTTATCACGTTGGAAACACAAAGGTGACACACCAATATGGCGGCGATTACCAAAAACGAGGCCGATAAGCAATTCTGTAGGTGTGTATCATTCTTGGGTTGCCTGATAACTTTATAACGTCATCTGGGGTGCTTCGACAAAATGCAAATTTCCATAAGGCACCTCAGATGCGTCATCAAGTGACCCATTACCAAGCATCGTCATTGGTCTATTTTCAAATTTGACAGAAATGACAGTTGAATTCCAAGAGCCGAGAATAGAAAAAAAAATATTTTCAAAGTAGGCCATGCATTTTCATTGACCGTGGTTAAAAATAAGGCGCTTCCCAAAATCAACCATACAAACTTATGGAGTAAACATGGCGGAGATGGTCAGCCCGGTTTACACAAGAAAACACTATTATAAATTATTACCTTGCTGGCATCTGGTGCTCCAGCCACCCTCAATATAAACGGCGATCCTTGCACGTGCTGTCCAGCATATTTGATGGTCAACTGATGTCTGCCCGGCTCTTGAGGCTTGACATTCAAAGTAAAAGTGGCATCTCCGTGATCGTATAGTTCGCAGTAGGCTACTTTTCTGGGCCCTGCACAGTGCGCAGTCAATTCTCCAGGTCCTGCTCTTCTAGTGTCAATCCAGGATCGGATTTCTCTGCCGACGACGCCTTGACGTAGACCTTCACCAGAACACAGGACTTTTGTGGCATCAGCACCTCCTTTAACTTCTACTATCAATGGACATCCTTTAACAGGTCTACCAGCCCATAGGACGGACAACAAATAATTTCCAGGAGTGTTGATCGTATAAGAAGCTCTCCAGATTTTCTCTCCAGCCAAACTAATCATCACTGGTACTGGAATGTTGGTATCAGCAGCATGTAGCGTTACTTCTGGATTGCCAGAATTTGCTTTGGAACCGTCAATAGTAAATATTGCAGGCTCACAAGTTTTAGCTTCTGCCAGACCTTTTCCAGTCAACACCACTTGCTGATCTCCAGAGGCAATAACTGTATTTGGCCCGCCTGGTAATGGAAAACCGGCAAATTTGATTTCAAATTCATGTTCTCCCGTATTTAATCCTTCTCCAGATAAATCGAATCTAATCCTGGTTCCAGATTTTTCAGGATTCATTTTCCTGCCAGCAATTTTGCATTCCAACGCACCTGGACCAGCGTTTGATATATCAAAGGCTAATTTGGTTGGTAATTTGAGCCTATTGGATTCGTCCAGGTATTGATTCCAACCGCCTATGAGTCTTACCGAATCTGGATCAACGATGTTTGGTCTAAATGGTGAACCAGGAAGCTGGAAATGCATGATTATAAAAACTGGAAAAATTAACTTTAAATTCTTACATCATTTGGTCCGATTCCAATAATAATATCGTATGTGCCTACCCATTTAGGCAAATAACTAATGGTGTATTCTCCAGGCTTGGGACTTTGGATATGAGCGTCTATAACCCCTTCGACAGCTTCAATAGCAACTCGAGGCTGCACCACGCTGCTGACAGTAAATGTGGCACGTTCGCCTACTCTAGCAACTTCCAGGCCTTTGCCCACAGCTCTGGGAGGAGGCGTGGGGCCCACTGGACCCACCCCTAAAGCTAGAGGAGAGCCTTTAACTGGAACACCTCCGTAAGTTACCGCTACTTGATACAAACCAGCAGAAGCTGGTAAGAAGCTGATTTGCGTCAGGCTATCACCCAAGGACATTTCTTGGACTTGAAGGGTTTGGCCTATGGGGTTGGTCACTTGGACTTCCAAATCGGCAATGCCAGAATTTTTAGTTAAAACTGAAAAAATTGAATTTTATAAAAGGGTATTTGATGTATGTGAATCAATGACATCTTAAAACACAGATAGACAGCATATCTCACTTGTTGTGATATTAGGACCCATCATGAGCCAGGGGAGGTGAGTTGCTGGCAAGGGTCATGGTGGGGATGCATCAAAGGTGTAAATTGGTGTGGAATACTCCAATTCTTAACAAGTCTCAAGAAAGTTGTCACATTAGTATCATTATCATAGAGTTTTTTATATCGTGTCTCTGCATTTTAATTAATAAAAAGTTATTCAATCAATAAAGTAAAGAGAGGATGTCCGCAGGGAAAATTACTCTCACCTTTGATGTGGAGTCTAGTGGTTGACAACCTCCTAAATGTATTGACCAATCAGGGCTTCACCTACTTTGGATACGCTGATGATATCGTCTGCACGACCAGAGACAAATACGAAGGAATATTCTGCGATCCTATAGAAAAAGTACTTCGAACCACGAAGGAATGGTGTCAGACAGTGCAGCTGAATCTAAACTCAGCAAAAACCACACTGGTAACCTTTACAAAAAGAACGAAACTCCCAAACCTGAGAAACATTCGCCTCGATAGAAGTAGAATGTAACCCCTTTTATTAATGAATTAACAAGAGTCCCATAATATGCTCGGTTTGCTCAGAGTATAATGATTAGGGCTGGGTAGATAGTTTAACAAGTACAGAATGGCAAGGGCGCCATTGAATTTGAAAAATTAAATTACATAAAATATGGAACGGTAAAAATAATTCAGAAACACACCTAAAAAAAATAATCTGCAGACAGTAATTGATAACTAACTTCACTTACCGGAATATCGAGAGGTTATGGGCCCAGATTCCCCAAAGATTATCTAACTGGAATTGGGCGGAAACTTGAAAAAGGAAAAGTTAGATAAGGAAGAGATAGGGGCAGCTCAAGGCAAGGAAGATGGCAGACAAGATCCTCTGAACCACACACACACCGGATATTGGTAAAACACAATTTTCTTTACTGTAATGACTATCAATCTATCTGTGTTAATATAACATTGATGCAAATAATTACCATTGAAAATAACTTTTTCACCAACATTGCCCTGAGAAGTAGGTATATCCACTATCCTCACCGAATCCGGATCAGCAGCTTGACAAGTAAACGGACTACCGGTAATAGCTTTGGCCTGATGCAAAACTTCCACCTTATGAGGCCCCACATCTCTGGCAGTAAACTCAGCTTGCAATTTACCAGTTTTAGTTTGATAACATCTTACAGGTACAGCTGAACCTGTAGGACCACTAACAACCACATCAAACTCCCGAGCTGATCTGCCCAAGGTGTCAATTTGAAATGAAGTTACTTTGCCGACTCTGGCCTGGTACAAACCACTACCACCCGCCCAAGGTTCACTTCCTGGACTCTTAACTGGGACTTCTAATATGCCCATTTTTGGAACATTATTGTAAAAGAGCGTGATTCGATGTGGGGCCGCTATTAGGGGATGGAATACGACTTCCCACATGTTGGGATTGGTGGGGCTTTGTCGCACGCTATGGGCTACGTCACGATTGGCTACTCGCACCGAGGCTGTCAATTGTCCCGGGCCTACTTTGGCCATATTGATGCCTACAACGGCTGGACGATGACAGGTGGCTTCTGGGACATTGACTATATCGATTTTGGTGGTGTCAAATACATGTGTTGTCCTTGTACAATTTAAACTGAAAGCAATTGATAATTATTCTTTTATGAAAGTTTTTTAGGTAGTTGTAACTCACTCATGGCCTCTGTAGGAGTGAATTTTGTAGGTACCAGTTTGGTTCAAAATAAATTGGGCCTTGTAGTCTTTGACCACATATTTTACGTTGTGATTATTAGGGTCTTTGATTTCTAGCCGATGGTTTTCAGTCGGTAAATCCATATAGCAAGTGGAGCCTATTTGAAGGTACTGAGTAGCTTCAATCTGAAATAAAACCCTTATAACAAACTCTAATTTTTGTCTCAAGAATTATCTCTTACCACTGAGCAATGGAAAGGACTGCCCACAACCGCAATATCATTGAAAGTAATATTAACAAAATGATCTTCTGCTGTTAGTGGGACAAAAGTGACATCGTATAAACCTCTGGCACAAGCCACCACTTCAGCTTTGATGGTAGTATGCTGGGTGGACACCACTAGTTCCAAAGTGCCTTCACCAGCTTGCGCAGCATCCACGCTAAACGTAACAGGCTTGCCAACTTCGGCAGGGCCTAAATCCCTCAAGCTCATATCACCAACTGCCCTAGTGATATCGCCAGCCTTATTTCCAGGCAACCCAGTCACAATCACCTTGTTAACATCGTAAACGTTGCAACTAAAAGGCGACCCAATAACGTGTTGGTCATTGATTAAAATAGCTACAGAGTGTCGGCCTACTGTTTCTGGCACAAAGTGTGCAGTACAAGTATCAGCAACCCTAGTGAATTTGATAGGAATTATTTTGCCTGTAGGGGCGGTGACGATGACTTGGGGCTCCGCCCCATCTACGACTCCTTCGATTTTGATTTCAGCCTGAGCATCGACTGACGCTAGTTCGATACCGGATCCTGATACTGGTACTCTGGGTTGGACGTTGCCAGGACTCACTTTACAACTAAAGGGTGATCCCGGGACTGGTTGGCCGTTAAATCTAAATGGAAGATACTTGGGTAATTTAACAATTAATCCAATCACACATCTTTCATTACACTGTTGCCTGTTCTAACTAGTAGGTAGAGATTATTTTTAAATGAACTCACCTTACACTCAATGTATGAACAGCAGCTTCAGTAGGCTTGAAATTCACCTTAAACCTAGCATTGCCCTCGCTCTGCACAAAATTGGGCACATTCCTACCACCAACAGCAACAATAATTTCCAAATTCCCAGCGCCAGCCTGTGAAGCGTTTATGCTAAACGACACTGGCTTACCAACAACGCCATCTATAATATCAGTTACAGTGACTCTGGAAGCATCGTAAGCCTTAACCAAAAAAGGACTGCCTTCTATGTGACCAGTAGGCAAACGCACCTCCACGCTATGATCTCCCACATCCAAAGGAGTAAATGTGATTTCGAAATTTCCAGCAGTACCAGGTTGAGGATTGACTTGTGTCAACAAAGATCTTCTTGCGGGCCCTAAAACCTCCACTATAGGAGGCGTAGGGCTTTCGACAGAAAAACTACATGCTCGGCCTACAGAAACTTTATCCAAAGCTTCCGAACTTAGAATTCTGGCAGCGGGTACTACGTGGCACTGGAACGGACTTCCTGGTACGTCTTGGCCGTTGAATCTTAAGTCGACTGAGTGTACTGAAGGTTCTCGAGGCGTAAACGAGATGGCGTAAGTGTGAGGGCCTTGTGCCTGCGCTGATGTTGGTACCAAACCTCCATTGACAGTTACTTCTAGGTTGCCTGGACCTGCTTGACTTGTTTCGACTGTAAACAAATTAATTTTAAAGTAAAAGGTTTGTGGAACCGCAATTTTTTTTTTTATAATTTTTTTATGTATTAGGTACCCACTGTATACTTATTATGATACTATGTACTGGTATTACTATGTAGAAATTATAACTTTTCACTCGACTAAAAAAACTTTTCACCTGACGTGTTTGGATTTGCGTTCCGCATATCACCAGGTCAGGTTGATGAACCTGATCGTGATAAAACAGCCTTTACTACTCCCTTCGGAACTTATATCGTTTTACCTGGATGCCATTTGGACTGAAAAATGCACCTGGAATATTTCAGCGTTTGATCGATCAGTTTCGACGTGAATTCAGTAACGTATTAGTGCTAGCGTACCTAGACGATATCTGTGTGCTCTCCAGGACTTTTGAGGAACATATCGAGGTCTTAAAACTCATATTTTCACATCTCCGCCAATTCAATTTACGAGTCAAACGTGAAAAGTGCAACTTGTGTGTAAAATTGTTAAATGCCTCGGTCATTTGATCACTCTTGATGGAATTTCCGTCAATCGTGTAGCTGGTATCGTCACTTTGTGAAAAACTTTGCCGCCATCTCACGTCCATTGAGTAACCTAACTAAGAAAAATGCACCATGGCAATGGACTGAACGGCATCAGAACTCGTTTATCGTTTGATAGACTTATAACGAGCTTTTATGTAGACAACTGTGTTACAAATGTGCCAAGTCGAGGAATTTTATACAAACTTATCAAAGAATCGACGCTGGTCAGTTTGAGCTTTGAGGGTGGGAGTTTTCTGAATGTTCAAGTAGTCAAGGGCTGCGTTCAGGAATGGCTACAGCCAAACCAAAATTGGCATTTTGCGTTCGAGTTAGGCTCCAACCTACGTAGTTCGGCATTACCAATGGAGGGGGAAAAGTAGGTTTTGGCATTAGCATCGCCGTCTTTGAACGCACCCAAGATGGTGTGTGAGTACTAGTACTTGAACTAAAGTGGTTTCCCATTAGAGACGTCTTGGCTATAAATCAAGATTTGCTCAAAAAAGAAACTGAAAACATGATAAATACTAAAAGAAGATTGCTAAGGATGTCTCAGAAGCTGTTTGACCCTATAGGTTTTACCAGCCCTAGTACGTTACAACCCAAATTGTGCTTACAAGAGTTGTGGGCTAGAAATACAATTTCGGATAGGTACCAAAGTAGATAATGAGCTTTCCGTACAATTTAAAACCTGAGTTAAAGATCTGGAAAATTTGACAAAAATCAAAATTCCTTGCTAAATGAAGTGGACCGCGAAATAAGCATACATACATTTGCCGATGCTTCAAAGTATGCCTATACGGCTGTCTATTGTAGAGTTGTAAAAAATAGAAAGTTATAGGCTTCTTTATTGGCTGCTAAATCCAGAGAGTAGCTCCTATAGAGAAAAACAGTATAAAGGTACACCATACGACGACTAGAATTGCTGGCTGCGATAATTGGAGCAAGGTCATATATGTGCGTAATTAAAACTGGAGAATCCACAGGTTGCTGATAGAATGGTAATCGATGAAAGATTTTAAATTGAAATTGAAAGATATCGAAACTGAAAAGGATATTCTTTCACTTTACCTATGGCTTTTCTTCCAAACTCCACTCAGTTGGCCAGCTCTTTCAGGAAGTTCAAGTCCAATGCGAAGGAGTACGAACGAAACTGTCTTGATTTAACCGGTAGAGGCAAACGAAAAAAGCGCAGGTCTATTTTCTCGAACCACATACGAAACGGATGGAGTGTTTTTGGCGAACGACTTTACAGATATCCTTTTTCAGTGTTCAACGCGCGCATTTTTAAAAGCCAAATTTAGCAAAGCCGTATCAATTTTAAGGCATAAAACGCGCAATTCAATTAGAATAAAAGAAAACAAAAATAAAGAGAAACTATATACAGGGCGCGTAGATGAAATTTAACACACAAATAATCGAAGATTTGTTAGACACTGAATTGGAAACTTGTGAAAGTTATTTCTGGAGTGATTCGTCAACAGTAATATCATGGATACATCGTAACGACCATTGGGGGACGTTTTTGTATAATCGAGTGACTGATGAAATAAGAAAATTGACATCCCAATTTCAGTGACGACATATTCCAGGAATATACAAGGCAGCAAATTCAAACTTTCGTTGATGTACAGCTAAAGCCGGTGCCACACGATGCGTTCAACCATTGGTCCCAACGTTGGATCCAACGTTGGGTGCAATGTTTAGCACTCTAGTCCGACATTGGTTTAAACCAGGGGCGCCGGGTTTCAGAAAACCTCGTGGGTGCTGATGTTCATGCATCGGCATTTATGAGGGGGGGCGAACAGCCCGCCGGTGGCAAAAAAACTTCTCTAGAAGCCACGCCCAAAAACGTTTACCAGCATTCTTTAATTTACATTCGGACGAGTATCTAAGAAGGGAATGGTAATACATTTCAAACAACGTAGTTCACACCTTTCCATATTCGTTTTCCAGCTGCGGAAACTAGTGTAAGTTTTTTGCGGTGTCTGCTAAAATTGGAAAAAAAGGACGGCTATAAGGGTAAAAAGTAGAGTGTTTTCACAGCTATCAGAACAATACCCACTTCTACCACGTAAAAGCCCCCCTCCAGCATAGCCATCATAGCCCACCATTAATCTATTTTCAAAAGGCGCCGCCGATCTAGAGATTTTCCCACGGTATCGAAAAACTTCCTAGGCTCAAGTGCCCCCAGCTATCAGACTAGCAGATTCACAAGCAAAATATTTATTATTGCAATGAAATTAATGCACCTGTTTATGACCAATACCCACCTCACAGCTATCAGAGCAATACCCACCTCCACTACGTCAAAAAGCTTCTACTCTGAAGAAGTACCTCTTTCCATATCCCTTCACTTTCTTGAAAACTAAAGAATATTTCAACTATTCCTGCATTTGTATTCGTCAATAGTGTTCTTAACTCCATGAGATTAATTTTATTGCAATAATAACATTTTGCTTGTGAATCTGGTGGACCACTTACGTAGTAGAGGTGCGTATTGATCTAATAGCCGGGGGCACTTGAACATGGGAAGTTTTTCGATACCGTGGAAAAATCTCTGGATCGGCGGCGATATTTCTTATTGGAAGTCAAATAGGCAATATTACAATTTTTTTATTGGCATTCTTTCCATAGTGCTAGACTCTTAAGGCGAACTTTAGTGGTATGATGGCTGTGCTGGAGGGGAGTTTTTACGTGGTAGAGGTGGGTATTGGTCTGATAGCTGTGAAAACACTCTACTGTAAAGTGTGGAAAACTCTCCTGCAGATATTCTTTTCCAAGCAGCATGTACCGAAAATCTGCGTTTTACGCTATTCTTCATAAAAGATTTCTGATTTTCTTCATCTTCTTCTTCTTCTAAACAAAGTACCACCATGTTCTGATATCAACTGCCAGTACTGGATTTACTGTTCTGATTTTACTGTCATTTGCCGTTCCAATTTCAACAGGGTACTCTTGTGGTCATTCAGTACTGAATCGACTGAATCCAGTATACCTACTGAAAATAATATCGAAACGGCGTCCAGTAAATTCAGTACTAACATAGTTAATATCGGAACATAACCTATATAAGGCTATGGTCCAAATATAACCAAACGTTAACCATTAGCTCTGTTCCAACAGACATGAGAACCGTTCCAGAACCAATAATTTCCAGTCGCCCACCTATTTTTCAATAAGTTGAACGTTTTTCCCAATTGACAAATGGATTGATCGACTGGAAATTACCGTTCTAGAAAGGTTTTCATGTCTGCTAGAACAGGGCTAAAGTAACCGAATCGGTCAACAGATGTTTACTGAAAATTCCGGTTACTTTGGGGAACGCAAATATGGAAATAAAACATAATTGACAGAAGGAGAAGTTGCAGATAAAACCTTGATAAAACCAACAGAACCGACATCCGATGGCCGGTAACTATTTTGACATTTGGTTAACCAGATTTTAGGAACCCGAGGTACAAAATTAACCAGTTTTCCAGGAACTAGAGAGGATTATCAGTTTTTAAGTCTATGCACCCACTGTTCAGGTCTCGTGGGTGCTCGAGCTCCCGAGCACCCACGTAATCGGCGCCCCTGGTTTAAACAGTGCATTTGACCAGCAGGGCCGTAGCTAGAGTCAAATTTGTGGTATGGCATGAAAAATTTGACATAGGGCATGCACTACTTCCCTCCGCCCCTTAAATTTTTTATAGGTAAACAGAATGGAGGTAATGGCACTGAAGGCAAATTTTTCAATAAACAACATCAAATAACATTTCTGGCGAATAAACAAAATGGCGCGTTCAGGGCATTGCCCCCCCTGGCTACGGCCCTGTTGACCAGCATTGAACACATGTTTGTCACGAGCGCACGGCTACATAATGCCACAAATCTCTGTGTGTCCAATGTTGCAAGACATTCGACACATCGTGTGGCGTCGGCTTAAGAGAATATTGAAATCCAAATGGTGGGAGGGACCTGACTGGATGTATAATAACAATGAAAACTGGCCTTACACTGAAAACAGACTAATAAGAAGGAAAATTAATGAAGAAAGAAAAAAAAAACAGTGAAAGCACTACTAAACCTCTAAATCAAGAAGAAGTTGATTATCATTTAACTAAGTTCAGTAGTTGTTACGGGATTATTTTTCCCCCTCAAGTAAAAGTACCCCCATCTAGAAATTTATTACTAAGTTGTCATTTCACCTATACAGTATTTTTCAGTACTATCTAACAATAATTGTGGTTATTCACTCAAACATTTCATAGTATATATTATTACAGATTCCTACACTTGCTTTATAGTACCGATGGTTCTATTACAGATTTCCATACTATCTTCCTTTGTACCATTACAGTTTCCGCTATTTGATAGGTACTAGGCATTCAGTCAGTAGCAGTACCAGTGTCCCACAATAGATTTTATAAAAATTCCTCAAGTTTTGAATTGGTATGCCCTACGTTGGGCGCCAATTTGTTACGAGTCTAAAGCGACATGCGGAAGGTAAGAGAAAAAAGAGTGAAGGGAGGGATATGACTCTTGAAGGTGGCCTGAAGAAGAAATCCTACTTATAGAGAAGCACCGACTAGTCCACAAAATTCCGGTGAGTGGGGTGGGGCTAAATATTGCTTACCTAAAAACGTCACTGCTTTACCAACAACTCCTTGAGCCGCTTCTTTGACTTTGATAGCTTGGACATCGTAGACTTTGGCGGCATAAGGGCTGCCAACTGTTGGTACTCCGCACACGGCCACGTTAATGCGGTGCTCGCCCACTACTCGCGGTACGAACTCGGCTTGGTACTGCCCATTACCGATCGGTTGTACTTGGGTTGGTACCGCTTGGCCTCCAGGACCTGATGATTATTTCGGGATTTTTGTTTGGAAGTTTAGTTAATTTGGAGTTAGGATTTTGAAAGCAGGGTTATGAATTTTGAGAAATATTTGCTTTACTCGCTGTATACCGGGTGACAACGAAATCGTTATACAAACCATCATTCAGTTGTCTTTAAAGTTAAAAATTTGAAAATTGGGTGTTACCCGTTCCAGTCAGTGAGACTGCACATTTTTCGTAAAAAAAAACAATTAAATATCACTTCCGGTTACTCCGGAAATGGACCCAAGTCAAGAGAATTTTTTATGGAACCCTGTATATTTTTTCACACAGTTGAATAGAGCTTAAAATTCCCTTTCCAATGACATATCACAACTTGCATTTGTTTCAAAGATGGCGGCGTTAGATTCAATATGGCGGCATTCTGACGTAACCGATAATGTTTCTGTCAAACAAACACTTTTAACAATCCATAATTTTTAGATTTGGAATGGTTTTAGATCGAATTTCAAAAAAAAAAAAAAATGATTTTGCTCAAAAACAAGGACATTTCAAAATTTCTTTGAAATTCAAATTTTAGTTTCAAATTTTCTAAAAATTTTGAATTGGAGGAGATACTTATTAAATTCTAGAATTGAAGGTGTCCAATGGCCTACCGAAAAATGTCTACCAAAATGCATATTCATTTTTCGGTTAGGTAGGTATTCAAAGGTTAGGCCAGAATGCCGCCATATTGAATTTAAGAAAGTGCCTTCTTACGCCGCCATCTTAAAAAAAAATTCCACTTATCATATGTCATTGAAAAGGGAATTTTAAGCTCTATCCAACTGTGCAAAAAAATATATAGGGTTCCATGAAAATTTCTTGACTTGGGTCCATTTCCAAAGTAACCGGAAGTGATATTCAATTGTTTTTTTTTTAATGAAAAGTGTGCGTCTCAATGACTTACCCGATTTTCAAATTTTTAAATTTAAAGACAACTGAATGACGCCTTGTATAACGATTTCATTGTCACCCGGTATATATACGCAATTTTTAGAGTTATTGAAATCGAAGGAGCTTGAATTTGAAGTTAATTCTGCAAATGTTATTTACAAACTTAGTATATAGGGTGATTTACGAAGCCCGTGCATTAGTTTGCAGGTGGATTAGATGCTATTTCTACTTATCCACCTGCAAACTGAGAACTTCTAATACATGAACTATGTAAATTATCCTCTGTATATTAAGCTGCTAGCTTAAATAATTGTAATTTCATAAAAAAAACTTCAAATTTCTTGTTACTTAACTCCAAATAGCCTAAAAATGGCATACATGTTACAGTAGAATTTTGCACCTGTGCAACTCTCAAGTACTTTTCTGAAAAATAACTCTAGATTTGATTTATAGTACAGAAAAGTACCTAATTTTCACATAGACGCGAAAATCCTTAAGTGTGTCACTCTGTAGCTCTATTTCAAACCCAAACCAGTTTATATACCGGGTGACCACGAAATCGTTATACACAAGACGTCATTCAGTTGTTTTTAAAGTCAAAATTTTGAAGATCGGGTAGAAAACAATTAAATATCACTTTCGGTTACTCCGAAAATGAATCCAAGCCAAGATTTACGAAACCCTGTATATTTTTTTACACAGTTGGATAGAGCTTAAAATTCCCTTTTCAATGACATATCACAAGTTGCATTTGTTTTCAAGATGGCGGAGTAAGAAGGTTGTTTCTTAAATTCAATATGGCGGCATTTTAAGGTAACCGATAAATGAATATGAATTCTGGTAGACATTTTGCGCTATGCCATTGAATTGGACACAGTTTAATGTTAGGATTTATTAGCTCTGTTCCAACTAACATGAGAACCGTTTTAGGAACGGTAATTTTCAGTTGATCAATTCATTTTTCATGGTGAGCAACTGGAAATTATTGGTTCTAGAACGGTTCTCGTGTCGGTTGGAACAAAGCTAATATAGATACCTCTTCCTATTCAACATTTTAGAGCAAAATACTTTAAAATTGTATACTCCTATATTTGAATAAAATAAAGTGCACGAAATTAATTATGACGTCATGCAATAAGAAATCAATAAAAGTGTGGTTATGCTAATGTGAAACGGACATAAAACACAGTAGATAAGACGGGGAGCACAGAGACTCGCTTTGACAGATATCGTCTTGTGACGTCATTGATTTACCAACTACGTTTTGGCGCGAAGAAAGTTATTTTGAATTTCTATATTTTTTTGAATGACGCCTTGTATAACTATTTTGTTATCACCCGGTATACGAACACAAAAACTACTATTCTGATGCAATGCGATTCAATTTAATTTTGATGAAATAAAAGATGCCTGGTGGAAAGAGACACAGATGATAGTAAAATCACGTGCGTAAAGTGAAGCTTTACCGCATTAGAAATGGTGCAAAAGTGAGACATTTTCTCAAGAGAACATGCAAAATTTATGTGTATTTTTTTGAAGTTATAATGTTTAGGTTCGGTTTATTCATTTCAGACTTAAGATAAACTTGTTGGTAACTATCAACGAAATAAATTCACAGTATTATAATTCTATTGGTCGACGAGTTACTAACCGACCAATGGAATTACTGATTGCATTTTTAAACTTCATTCACAGTTGCGCGAAATTCGCTCTTTGTTTGACATTGCTTCAAAAATTTGACGTTTTATGCGTGTATCAAACGTCAAATTGTCAAAGCAATGTCAAAAAACAGCGAATTTCGAGCAAGTGAGAATGAGGCATAATCCGTTAGATTGCATATTTGACAGTTTATCAGAAGTTTGATTAACCGGCACTTAGAGTGAAACAAATATTTCTCTAGACTGATTTTTTTTTTTTAAATTTATTTAAATTTTTTTAGTGTGAAATTAGGATAAGGGACAGTAATGTTTAGTAACAAATAATGATAAACAAAATGTCGGTTAAATAAAATAAAACATATAAAGGGAAAAAAAAAAGAAAGGAAAAAGGATAAATCATCTAATAAACATATCGGTGGTGTCCTGAAAAAGGAAAGAAAGATGTGCTAATGATAATAAGAAAAAGAGAAAAGGGAGAAACAAACAAACATAAAACAGGCATGATTTATTTCACAAATAAAAAAAAACACATTGCATCAACAATAAATAAATAAATAAATAAATAATAATAAAAAAACACCAAGTTGCAACTACTACCACCATAAACAAAATAAAAGCGCAACAAACCCACATGCAAAATAACACAAGAGAAAAGCGTGTTCTGTTAGACCTGAGGAACACACCTGCGCGTAAACCCAAAAGAAATATATTCTTTTTTTTCTGGTTTTTAAATAACGTTAAAGCAACGTACGTACGTTATTTAAATGTCTATAAAACGCTTTTTCTGTGTTACAGTGACTCAATAAACCTCTACAAACAGTAACAAAAATAGACGAATATTTTGCAACAACATGGCCGCCACCTGTACAATTCAAATGGATCGCAGCTATGTTAGTTTGTACAGGTGGTTTATCAAGTCACTGTATTCTTTGTTCATTTACAGCGCATATGTTCGTTAGATCTAACAAATGCCAACTTGTTGCAGAGCGGAAACAATAATCTCACCCTCAACATTAACCTCGATGTCCTCCAACCGGCCGGGATGATTCACCAGCAACGTACTAGGCCTGTGCACCGGTCCAGGACCGGGCAACGTCACACTTGGCCCAGTCCCACTGCCACCAACTGAAACGATCAACGGACATCCGACCACCGGACGTTTGTTGAACGCCACGTTAACCACGTGATCGCACGCCTCTGCCGGGACAAAACTGACAGCGAATCTGGCGTTGCCTTGAGGGTGGACTTGAGTGGGGATGTTCAGCCCTCTAGCGGAGATTGTGATTTCCAAGTTGCCTTCGCCGGCTTCGCTTGCGTCCACTGAGAATGTTACCGGACGGCCTACTGTGCCTCTGGCTACAGTGCCGACTGTTACCTAAAGTTGGCAACAATGTAAAGGATTGTCACAAGTCACAATTGATAATTATGACAAGTGACAGCTCATGAAGAGTCCCTAATTTAAAAGAACACTAGTTTATTGGAATGAGTAAGTTGGCAACATTGGTGTCTGGAGGTAAGTTTCATTAACTTCTCAAAGCTTTAAGTGAAGTGTTTAATGACTTTGAATTACTTCGAGGGGCTTTCAGAAACATTGATACGCTTAATTTTGTCTCCCTTTCTAATAAGATCAATTAGAAAAAGAGAAAATAGTGATTGATCAAAATTTGTACTTTCCAAAAACCTCTTGTTTGAGAAGTCATTTTGACAGCCCAAAAGGAAGTCGCGCATCTGTAATGACGTCACAAGGGTATCGGCGCTTGGAAATAATAGACAATCCTCCTTGCTTGTAATCCTTGGTTTGTGTTAATCGTTACAATAAAAAAAGAGTAATTTTTGGCTCTGGAAAATTTTCAAAATCTTGACATGGACATGAACAATTGCTCAAATTTTCTATTAAATTTCGAGCAAATTGAGATAAATTATATACCATTGGAAAGAGCATTAAATTCTCTATAAATCCGTGCAAAATTGAGTTCAACAGCTTCAATAGTTTTTGAGCAATCGACCCTCAAAGTTGACTTTTGGTCCAAATTTTGTCAAAAACTTCAAACTTAATTTGCTCAAAACCTATAAATTTAAGAATATTGTAAATTACAAGCCATTTAGAGCCTAATAAGAGCTAGAAATGCTGGAAATTTCAATGCATTTTGCTCAACGGTTGCCGAGCAATTGAGGTTTGAATATTTTGAAATCAGAATTCAAAAGTGATACCCTTATGAAAAATTCGATTTTTTAGGTTTGCTCAATTTTGACTTTATAAATCGATAGACCAGGTTCAAATTATTGGAAAACCACCCTGACATCATTTCCAAATAACCATTATAAGGAGAAACAAAATTGGAAAGGAAATCCTATTTTTGGCTTTGAAAAATTTTCAATATCTTGACATGGTCATGAGCAATTGTCCATATCTTTGTTAAATTTCGAGCAAATTGAAATAAATTGTATACCATTGGAATGAGCATTAAATTCTCTATAAATCCGTGCAAAGTTGAGTTCAACAGCTCAAATAGTTTTTGAGTAATTGACCCTCAAATTTGACTCTTAGTACAAATTTTATCACAAACTTCAAACTCAATTTGCTCAAAAACCATAAATCTGGGAGTATTGTAAATTACAGGCCATTTAGAGCTTGATAAGAGCTACAAATTCTGTAAATTTCAATACAATTTGCTCAATGGTTACCGAGCAATTGAGGTTTGAATATTTTGAACTCAGAATTCAAAGAGGGTAAGCAAAAAATGTAACGTAGAAAGACGGACAAAGACAGCCATTCATTGACACAAACCAAGGATTATAAGCAAAGAGGATTGCCTATTATTGTCAAGCGTTGATACCCTTATGACGTCACTACAGGTGCAATTGATGAAACTTGAAAAACAAATCGCGACCCACCTTGTTCGAATCGAACGCTTTAGCGACAAACGGCGTCCCTTGCACCGGCCTCCCATTATAATCCACACTAATCTGATGTGCTCCAACTTGCACCGGAGTAAACTCAGCAGTAAATCCCGAATGAATATCGCCAGTTACTTTAACTGGCAGCTCTCCTATTGGTCCTCTGACAGCTACCGCTAGCTCGGCGGCTCCGCCCCCTGCCACGCCCATATGAAACGAGCTGGGCTGATTTAGCGGTACTAATTCCAAATGACTGAGACTCAAGGTCACACGGCTGGTATCGGCAACAGCGCAAACGAACGGGCATCCGCGTACCGTTTCGCCGTTGAATTTGATGTCAATCAAATGGGGTTTGGCTTGGTCGGGGGTGAAGGATACGAGGCAACGTCCTCCGCCTACTACTTGCACGTGATTCGGTACTTCGCCTTCGTTTATCGAGATTTCCAGTTGGCCTTCGCCTGCTTGGCTTGCGTCAACTAAAAATAATTAATAAAAGAAAAATGGCTACACACTTGGCAACACTGTAATACGAGGAAAATGTGAATGGATGACGTCATCTGGGGTGCCTAATGGAGATTTGCATTATGTTTGGGCACGATAGATGACGTCATAACCTACTTCTTTCAAACAACCGTGTTCAAGCTATAGACGCTGTTGCCAAATCGTTCAAAATTATTTTAAAACTATTATTGACTCACCACTAATTCATTGTACTAAAATCCGGTGTACGTTTTCACTCTTCAAAGCACCAAACATTTCTGGCCAAGAAGCGAAATGAAGAAAAAGTAAGAAACGGTGCTCATCCATGATGCGATGGACCAATTACTATTATTATTATGGTTGGTGGACTTTGTTAATTGTTTTTGAAATAAAACCGGTAGAAACTAATTAGATCCAATTAGCCAGATGCTTCAACGACTTTCGTTTAGCTTTAAAGTTTTGGACGAAAATTGTACTTTTATTTAATAATATACAGAGTGTCCTAAGTCGCACCGGAAACCAAATCCATCTATATAGGGTGTCTCAAGAGTAATTGACCTAATAGGACTGCTTATTAAGCTGGAAGTGACGTCAGCCGCAGACCTCCTCAAGAATGCATCATTCGAGTTTGAAACATTTCAGGTAAAAAAAAGTTAAAATTACCTTTCCTACATTTAACACCTACAGAAAAATTAATCTACAAATCTGATTCGAGGTCTGCGGGTGACGTCACTACTATTAGCTGCTGATGGCAATGAAGTATAGCACTATACCTAACTACTGTCAGATTATGATGGCATTTTTCTCTAACTTAGTGTGTTTAAAGATAGCTATATAGTGAGGAATACCTCTCTCTCTCTAGTTCATTGTTGTTAGGTTTGGTATTTTCCTAACTTCAACCAAGACAAGGAAAGATTTCCATAATTCGCCAATAAGATGAATAGAGATAGGTATTCCTCACATTTTGCATCTCAATTTGCCCCAATTTTATAGATCGGCGCGAACATTCCAGGTATGTGTATATCCTATTCACAATTTGTAGTCCAAAGGTACAGGTAAATTTATCACCTTTCCCTATGAAATAGTATTGAAAGATGATAAATTTTACCTGTACCTTTGGACCTCACATTGTGAATAGATAATTGTTAAAGTTAAAAGTTTAACGGCTGATGGTAGTGACGTCACCCGCAGACCAGTTGCCTATTGGAGAACTGGCAAACGTATGCCTTTATTAGGATGAGCAATCGAGCAATCCTGTTTGATGGAATGTTCTTAAGGGTGTCTTTTACTAAGTAAGTTGACCGGAGGTGCCATTTTCCTCTTTCTATCCCGAAAATTTCATAATTTTCCCTTGGACAGTTTTCCAGAACAAAAATAATATGTAAGAGAATACATTTTTTTCTTAACTGAAATTCTGCAATTTTCCATTAATTTTACATTTCGCTATTTTTCATTGAAAAAATATGAAAATTTAGTATGATGCGCTCCTGACTTTCTTCTTTTTATCCAGAAAATTTCATGATTTTCCCTTTGCTAGTTTTCCAGAAAAAAAAAAATCAAATATAAAAAGGAGTGGGACATTTTCTGTTCTGTTTCTGTTATATGTCGAGCTGTCACTGTTGACATATCGATAATCAACGATCAAAAATCGATAAATTTTAAAAAATCGATTTATTATCGATAAAATAGCATCGTTTTGCAGGAATTCAACAGGAAATATTCAAATACTGCCTACTTAGTTCGTGATCGGTCAAGAATAATTTCATAGTAAACTACTTTCTCTTTGTAAACTTAATGAGCTTTGTAAATCACACAAGGAAATTATATTTTATTTACTGCATAATGTATGTCACGGTTTTCAGGAAATGTATAATTTTAATTTCTATTTGTTTTGAACGATCTGACAACAGTGCATAGATATTCAATGAAAATTAATTCAGGATTGGAACGCTGTAACTGATAGAGATCACTTGCTATCTTCTTCTCTTATAATCGAAATCAATAGAGAGAAGATGACAATACAGATAGAGCTTTTTCAAGGTTGTCAAATTGATTCTACGACAACCAACCGCAATATTACAGTGTTGCCAATTATTGTCAATTATACCTCTAAATTGTACGGGCTGGCCGACAACTCCGCCACTGACGTCGGCCACTTGAATCAGCCCTGCGTCGTAAACTTTGGCCACCAGAGGGCCAGATGGCAACTTGTCTCCGTTCACCGTCACTTCTACTATGTGAGTACCGACCTCTGTCGGTATAAATTCCACACTTTGGACACCTAAAAAGGAAACAAACAAATGAGGTAATTAAATAATTGAATTAATTAAGAAATATTTTGATGTTACTACACTGTGTTTGGGTTTATTCAATGATGTTGCCAGATTTAGAAGTTTTCCAAAGGCATCTAATTGGGCAATCGATTGACCTGTCAAACAAAATTCAATATGGCCGTTCAGGGCAAACACAGTGTTGTTTACATTTAGGTTACTGATAAAAATCAATAAAAATTTACTCATTTTGTCACAACAACGGCCATATTGAATCATATGATCTAAATTGCGTAATTCTATTGATTTGATAGATTGCCGCCTTGTTAGGAATGCCACTGTCAAATGTCGAATGTCATTACTTCCCTTACACTCTACGCAATGTTGCCGATGTAAACAATTTTTCCCCAAACAAGTGTAGCAACATCATCACCCAAATCCAGTTCTTACCTGTTCGATTGCCGGGTAAAACTCTAGCAGGTACGGTACGTTTGCTCGGAGCGATGACGTGCACGAGCAAGTCGTCGGGCGCGATGTTCGTGTTGGTGATGATTTCGAAAATGGCGGGCGAGTTGGCTGGCACGAGTCGCGTCGACTCGCCCATCACCGACACGCTGGTGTTGGTCATTATGTTCACGTGCCAGGGGCTGCCTGAAGATTAATTTTGGTTTTTTTGGGGGTTTTGAATTGGACAGTAAATGGTTCTCGATTTGTGCTTGTGACGTAATAATAATTGAATTTCAAAATGAAAGCAAAGAAATGCGCCCAATTAAAGCAGACATTGGTTTAAACAGGGTGTCCACATCGATCTATACAGGGTAAGTAAAAAGTACTGCAACACCTAAATATCTTCAAAACTGCTTAAGCCGCGTTCACACAATTCAGAATCTGACAATTTCTAAGCATGCGGAATTCAACAATACTATTGGCAATGTTGCGAGATTTCTCAGTTTTGCGCTACACGTAGTCTTTTTGTTATCTTAAATAGGCCCCATTCATTTTTATTGCAATGAATTGGGCGTGCCAAATTCTATGACTACAAATTTTCAAAATTCTATCTCTACTAGTTGTTGAAATATGATAACACCGTATTTTTGGTGAAAAGTATTGCAGCGCTTGAATATCTTCAAACGCCGCTTGAGCACATTTACGAAATTTGGTATCTGGGGGTTTTTGGACAAGTGAAATTCAACCGTGATATCGGCATTGTTGCCAGATTTCCCAGTTTTGCGTTACCGCCAGATACCAAATTTCGTCAACGTGCTTGAGCGGCGTTTGAAGATAGTCAAGCGTTGCTATACTTTTCACCGAAAATACGGTGTTGTCATATTTCAGCAGCTAGTAGCAATAGAATTCTGAAAGTTTTGAATATTATCAAATTTGATACGTCCAATTCATTGCAATAAAAATAAATGGGGTTTCTATTCAAGATAACAAAAAGACTACGTAGGTATAGCGCAAAACTGGGAAATCTGGCAACATTGCCAATAGCACTGTTAAATTCCGCATGTCCAAAAACTGTCAGATACCGAATTGTGTAAATGCGGCTTAAGCAGTTTTGAAGATATTTAAGTGTTGCAGTACATTTTAAACACTGTATGCAGAATATTTTTGAAAATTTGACAGTAAACTAATGTCAATGCGAGTAAGTCGGCTAAAATATTTTCAAGATGGTGGCACTTCCGGTTATACCGGAAGAAGATGCCAACTTGCTTATTTTAAATGAGACACCCTGTATATGATTGAATATTTGTATTCTACGTTAAATTCTGAGCAGATTTCACGTGAAATACCCTATACCTAAGTTCAATTGTTTTGGAAATATTGACAGTCGAAAATTTACTTTTTGCAACTTTATCGCCATCTTGAAAATATTTTAGCCGGGTTGCCCCCATTGACTGTCAGATTTTCAAAAATTTTCTGCATACAGTGTTTCACATATAGATGGATGTGGTTCCCGGTGGGACACCCTGTATAGTAACAAAATTATAGAGTCTTATTTTAGAATTTTAATATGTTACACCCTATATATAACATAAAGTATTGCCAAATGAGACAAATTTTGAGAGAAACATTACAGTCTATATCCTATTCACAATCCTTAGTCCAAAGGTACAGGTAAATTTATCACCTTTCAATGTTATTTGATAGGAAAAGATGATAAATTTACCTGTACTTTTGGACTAAGGATTGTCAATAGGATATAGACTGTAAAGTTTTTCTCAAAATTTGTCTCATTTGGCAACACTGTATGTTATAGGGTGTAACATACTAAAATCCTAAAATAAAAACTATAAATTATTGCTATACAAGGTGGTCCACCGGGAACCACATCCATCTTTATGTGAAACACTGTATGCAAAATTTTTTTGAAGATTTGACAGTAGTATACCTACTCATGTCAATATTTTCAAAATGGTGGCACTTCCGGTGTTATACCGGAAGTAGACGTCAATTTGCTTATTTCAAATGAGATACCCTGTATATGATTGCATATTTGGATTCTACGTTTAATTCTGAGCAGATTTCACGTAATATACCCTATACCGAAGTTCAACTGTTTTGAAAATATTGACAGTCGAAAATTGACTTTTTACAACGTTACCACCATCTTGAAAATATTTTAGCCGGGTTGCCTCCATTGACATTAGTATACTATCAAATTTTCTACATACAATTTTTCACATATAGATCGATGTGGTTTCCGGTGGGACACCCTGTATAGCAACAAAATTATTATAGTTCCTTATTTTAGAATTTCAGTTTGTTACACCCTATAATATACAGTGTTGCCAAAAGAGAAAAATTTTGATAAAAACATTACAGTCTATATCTTATTCACAATCCTTATTCCAAAGGTACAGGTAAATTTATCACCTTTTCCCTATCGAATGCAAGGTGATAAATTTCACCTGTACCTTTGGACTATAGATTGTAAATAAGATATATATTTACCTTTCTCAATTATTGGTGAAAGTACTACCAATAATTTCTATAGTTTCTTACATCACAAACGTTATTTTTTTTAATTATCCTGGCACACATTATAGTAAGCAGCTTTCAATTTCAAACGTATTACCACACCTCACAAAGTGGTACCGGAAACACACAAAAAAAGAACCATCACGGTACCATTTTTTTCTTTACCTGGCACACTATCAAAAAGAACACTATAATAGCAACGTTGATGTGATACCCAAACACTAAAATTTCACGATAAAAATACGAAAACGCCGAACATACGGTACAATTTTACGTGTAACTGGGACCCGAGCAGCGGTACCATTATTGCATGGTACCGCGGTTATGGTACCTCGTCCGCGCGGTGGGGGGCAAAACAGAAATTCCTACGATCGTGGAACCGTGATGCAGAAGCAACAGGTAAATCGAACCAACGAGTTAATATATAAAGAATTTTACTATTGTTGCCTAATAAAAAAAATTTAATAGGAGAATTTAACCACCCTGTATATACATTGTATTTTTGTTTTCAAAATAGCTTGGAAGCTTGAATATAAAAAACACTATTATTGGACTTGGACTATATTTTCTTGTAAATTTAAAATCGAAAAACTACTACTACAAACTCGTTGTTGGTTCGATTGTAAAAGCTAGAAACGGGTACCTACGACCCCGACGTCGGGTACTACGTAGGTAAGAACGAGGTACCACTCCTCGTATAATGGACGCCTCATCGCCCATTCAAGGAATTTCGTTTCGTATATGCGCGATTTTTAATTGAATCACACAATAATTCAAGGTGAAGATGTTTTTAATAATAATAATAATAATAATGAAAACATTTTTTTATATTTCCATGGGCGTACCTATGGTATCATATAAATGGAATTCTTGTTATTTTAATAAACGCACTTACCTTTTGTAGCATCTACTTTATACACCCTGTATAATTATTTAATTTTCACTTAATTACATTGCGAAATTGAAAAAAATCTTCTTGTACGCCCATGGAAAAATCCCTCCACCCATAAACATACTAAGTACTTACCTGGCACTGTCTCCCCGTTGAATTTGATGTCCACTCGATGCGGTAAGGCTTGATGCGGTGTAAACGCAGCCTTAAACCGTTGACCGCCCAAACTGCGCACGCTCGAAGTCACCCGACCCCCCTCTACCAGAATTTCCAAGTCCCCAGACCCGGCCCCACTGCCGTCAACTGTAAAACAACTTCAATAATTCAACTCAACCAATCACAATTGCTTACTCTCAAATTCTACAGGTTGTCCCAAGACTCCGTCAGGTACCGGTTGCACTTTGACAGAATTGGCGCCGCAGGAAGTTGTTTTTGTGACCACCCTGTATATAGGCGAGCTGTTGTACGAGTCCAGCTGCGATTCGGTCAAGTTCGCCAGCGATTCCAAGCTGCGTTCGGAAAATATATTTTTCGTTTTGTTGATGGCATCCCAAGAGTCGCGACGTTTCGATTGCTGATCTGTCATCGCTGATACTTTGATTATCGGGCTTGTATCGACGCCTGGAATGTCGATATTTCAATGTCAGTGCAACTAGTGCAAGGTCAATGTAGGGTCAGTGCAATTCTTACCTTCACTATAATTATTATAAGAACTGGTCCTGATGTTTTCGCTGCTGTACCTTGTGTCATATTTGGACGACGAATACCCAGCACCCAATTCCGTACTCGCAGTCCGCCCAATCAAATTCGGACTTTTGCCACCCAACTTCGGACTTCTACCGTCCAAATTCGGACTTCTGTTGTCCGTAATTTTCATCGAGGACATCTTGCTGCTAGTTTGATACATTGAATCAGAAGTTCTTTGAGCAAAACTCGGACTGGCAGTTTCGTATCTTTTTTCGTTTAATCTTAAATTTGATTTATTAATTACATTTCTAGAGGTGTAATACTTACTTTTTGCTGCTAACAAAGTCCGGACTGTCTCGTGCGAATGGACGCGAAGGACTTTCGGTTCTATGTCCGTAACTAGGACTGCCGTTTCTTTCGTAGTTTGGGGAACTAGAGGTAAGTCTGCTTTTTTCAGCTGCCACGCTTCTGCTGTGGTAATCTTGAGCATATTTATGGGTTTCTTCTAAAAGGAAAAATCATGTTATCTTACCTTTTGAATAGGTAATGCATATTAACACAAATAATAACAAAACATCATCTAGCTAGGAGAGCAATCCACCTCTGGTTTATCCCCTCCAATTAAGAAAAACTTCCAGGAACAAAAACGATTACTGGCAACGCCGGTTTCGACTTCAAATTTACCTTATTTGATGAAAACATCCTGGTTAATAAATCCTGAAAGTTTGAAATCGATCTGACACTCGGAAGTATTTTTCAGGATTTTTCAAAGATGATTTAACGTGAATTTTCCAACTTTTTTTGGTATTAAGTTGGAAAAAACCTCATAATTTTATTTCTGAGCTTCAGATTGACTTCAAATTTGCCTCGTTTGATGAAAACATCTTGGGTAATAAATCCTGAAAGTTTCAAGTCGATCTGTTACTCTGAAGTATTTTTCAGGATTTTCCAAAGATGATTTAACCTGAATTTTCCAACTTTTTCTGGTATTAAGTTGGAAAAAACCTCATAATTTTATTTCTGAGCTTCAGATTGACTTCAAATTTGCCTTGTTTGTGGAAAACAACGTGGTTGATAAATCCTGAAAGTTTGAAATTGATCTGATACTCTGAAGTATTTTTCAGGATTTTTCAAAGGTGATTGAACTTGAATTTACCAATTTTTTCTGGTATTAGGTTAGAAGAAACCTCATAATTTCGTTTCTAAACTTCAGATTGACTTCAAATTTGCCTTGTTTGTGGAAAACAACGTGGTTAATAAATCCTGAAAGTTTGAAATCGATCTGATACTCCGAAGTATTTTTCAGGTATTTTCAAAGGTGATTTAACGTGACTTTTTCACCCCTTTTCTGGTATTAGGTTAGAAGAAACCTCATAATTTTGTTTCTAAACTTCAGATTGATTTCAAATTTGCCTTGTTTGTTAAAATCATCCTAGTTAACAAATCCTGAAAGTTTGAAATCGATCTGATACTCCGAAGTATTTTTCAGGAATTTTCAAAGGTGATTTAACGTGAATTTTTCACCTTTTTCTGGTATTAGGTTGGAAGAAACCTCATAATTTCGTTTCTAAACTTCAGATTGACTTCAAATTTGCCTTGTTTGTGGAAAACAACGTGGTTAATAAATCCTGAAAGTTTGAAATTGATCTGATACTCTGAAGTATTTTTCAGGATTTTTCAAAGGTGATTGAACCTGAATTTACCAATTTTTTCTGGTATTAGGTTAGAAGAAACCTCATAATTTCGTTTCTAAACTTCAGATTGACTTCAAATTTGCCTTGTTTGTGGAAAACAACGTGGTTAATAAATCCTGAAAGTTTGAAATCGATCTGATACTCCGAAGTATTTTTCAGGTATTTTCAAAGGTGATTTAACGTGACTTTTTCACCTTTTTCTGGTATTAGGTTGGAAGAAACCTCATAATTTTGTTTCTAAACTTCAGATTGATTTCAAATTTGCCTTGTTTGTTAAAATCATCCTAGTTAACAAATCCTGAAAGTTTGAAATCGATCTGATACTCCGAAGTATTTTTCAGGATTTTTCAAAGGTGATTTAACCTGAATTTTACAACTTTTTCTGGTATTAAGTTGGAAAAAACCTCATAATTTTATTTCTGAGCTTCAGATTGACTTCAAATTTGCCTCGTTTGATGAAAACATCTTGAGTAATAAATCCTGAAAGTTTCAAGTCGATCTGATACTTTGAAGTATTTCGCAGGATTTTCCAAAGATTATTTAACCTGAATTTTACAACTTTTTCTGGTATTAAGTTGGAAAAAACCTCATAATTTTATTTCTGAGCTTCAGATTGACTTCAAATTTGCCTTGTTTGATGAAAACATCTTGGATAATAAATCCTGAAAGTTTCAAGTCGATCTGATACCCTGAAGTATTTTTCAGGATTTTCCAAAGATGATTTAACCTGAATTTTCCAACTTTTTCTGGTATTAAGTTGGAAAAAAACCTCATAATTTTATTTCTGAGCTTGAGATTGACTTCAAATTTGCCTTGTTTGATGAAAACATCTTGGATAATAAATCCTGAAAGTTTCAAGTCGATCTGATACTTTGAAGTATTTTTCAGGATTTTCCAAAGATGATTTAACCTGAATTTTCCAACTTTTTCTGGTATTAAGTTGGAAAAAACCTCATAATTTTATTTCTGAGCTTGAGATTGACTTCAAATTTGCCTTGTTTGATGAAAACATCTTGGATAATAAATCCTGAAAGTTTCAAGTCGATCTGATACTTTGAAGTATTTTTCAGGATTTTCCAAAGATGATTTAACCTGAATTTTCCAACTTTTTCTGGTATTAAGTTGGAAAAAACCTCATAATTTTATTTCTGAGCTTCAGATTGACTTCAAATTTGCCTTGTTTGATGAAAACATCTTGGATAATAAATCCTGAAAGTTTCAAGTCGATCTGATACCCTGAAGTATTTTTCAGGATTTTCCAAAGATGATTTAACCTGAATTTTCCAACTTTTTCTGGTATTAAGTTGGAAAAAACCTCATAATTTTTATTTCTGAGCTTGAGATTGACTTCAAATTTGCCTTGTTTGATGAAAACATCTTGGATAATAAATCCTGAAAGTTTCAAGTCGATCTGATACTTTGAAGTATTTTTCAGGATTTTCCAAAGATGATTTAACCTGAATTTTCCAACTTTTTCTGGTATTAAGTTGGAAAAAACCTCATAATTTTATTTCTGAGCTTCAGATTGACTTCAAATTTGCCTTGTGTGATGAAAATATCTTGGGTAATGAATCCTGAAAGTCTCAAGTCGATCTGATACTCTGAAGTATTTTTCAGGATTTTCCAAAGATGATTTAACCTGAATTTTCCAACTTTTTCTGGTATTAAGTTAGAAAAAACCTCATAATTTTATTTCTGAGCTTCAGATTCACTTCAAATTTGCCTTGTGTGATGAAAACATCTTGGGTAATGAATCCTGAAAGTCTCAAGTCGATCTGATACTTTGAAGTATTTTTCAGGATTTTCCAAAGATGATTTAACCTGAATTTTCCAACTTTTTCTGGTATTAAGTTGAAAAAACCTCATAATTTTATTTCTGAGCTTCAGATTGACTTCAAATTTGCCTTGTGTGATGAAAACATCTTGGGTAATGAATCCTGAAAGTCTCAAGTCGATCTGATACTTTGAAGTATTTTTCAGGATTTTCCAAAGATGATTTAACCTGAATTTTCCAACTTTTTCTGGTATTAAGTTGGAAAAAACCTCATAATTTTATTTCTGAGCTTCAGATTGACTTCAAATTTGCCTTGTGTGATGAAAACATCTTGGGTAATGAATCCTGAAAGTCTCAAGTCGATCTGATACTTTGAAGTATTTTTCAGGATTTTCCAAAGATGATTTAACCTGAATTTTCCAACTTTTTCTGGTATTAAGTTGGAAAAAACCTCATAATTTTATTTCTGAGCTTCAGATTGACTTCAAATTTGCCTTGTTGGTTGAAAACAACGCGGTTAATAAATCCTGAAAGTTTGGAATTGATCTGATACTCCGAAGTATTTTTCAGGATTTTTCAAAGGTGATTGAACGTGAATTTTCCAATTTTTTCTGGTATTAAGTTGGAAAAAACCTCATAATTTTATTTCTGAGCTTCAGATTGACTTCAAATTTGCCTTGTTGGTTGAAAACAACGCGGTTAATAAATCCTGAAAGTTTGGAATTAATCTGATACTCCGAAGTATTTTTCAGGATTTTTCAAAGGTGATTGAACGTGAATTTTCCAACTTTTTCTGGTATTAAGTTGGAAAAAACCTCATAATTTTATTTCTGAGCTTCAGATTGACTTCAAATTTGCCTTGTGTGATGAAAAAATCTTGGGTAATGAATCCTGAAAGTCTCAAGTCGATCTGATACTTTGAAGTATTTTTCAGGATTTTCCAAAGATGATTTAACCTGAATTTTCCAACTTTTTCTGGTATTTAGTTAGAAAAAACCTCATAATTTTATTCCTGAGCTTCAGATTGACTTCAAATTTGCCTTGTGTGATGAAAACATCTTGGGTAATGAATCCTGAAAGTCTCAAGTCGATCTGATACTCTGAAGTATTTTTCAGGATTTTCCAAAGATGATTTAACCTGAATTTTCCAACTTTTTCTGGTATTAAGTTGGAAAAAACCTCATAATTTTATTTCTGAGCTTGAGATTGACTTCAAATTTGCCTTGTTTGATGAAAACATCTTGGATAATAAATCCTGAAAGTTTCAAGTCGATCTGATACTTTGAAGTATTTTTCAGGATTTTCCAAAGATGATTTAACCTGAATTTTCCAACTTTTTCTGGTATTAAGTTGGAAAAAAACCTCATAATTTTATTTCTGAGCTTGAGATTGACTTCAAATTTGCCTTGTTTGATGAAAACATCTTGGATAATAAATCCTGAAAGTCTCAAGTCGATCTGATACTCTGAAGTATTTTTCAGGATTTTCCAAAGATGATTTAACCTGAATTTTCCAACTTTTTCTGGTATTAAGTTAGAAAAAACCTCATAATTTTATTTCTGAGCTTCAGATTCACTTCAAATTTGCCTTGTGTGATGAAAACATCTTGGGTAATGAATCCTGAAAGTCTCAAGTCGATCTGATACTTTGAAGTATTTTTCAGGATTTTCCAAAGATGATTTAACCTGAATTTTCCAACTTTTTCTGGTATTTAGTTAGAAAAAACCTCATAATTTTATTCCTGAGCTTCAGATTGACTTCAAATTTGCCTTGTGTGATGAAAACATCTTGGGTAATGAATCCTGAAAGTCTCAAGTCGATCTGATACTCTGAAGTATTTTTCAGGATTTTCCAAAGATGATTTTAACCTGAATTTTCCAACTTTTTCTGGTATTAAGTTGGAAAAAACCTCATAATTTTATTTCTGAGCTTGAGATTGACTTCAAATTTGCCTTGTTTGATGAAAACATCTTGGATAATAAATCCTGAAAGTTTCAAGTCGATCTGATACTTTGAAGTATTTTTCAGGATTTTCCA